TTTTTTCATGGTACAGTATTCAATTCTCTTTACATGCCACCACTCATACTTCTTATGAACCCTGGGATCGAACGACAAATAAGTTATTGGGTGACGAAGGATGTACTCAAAGTCTCCCTCCGGTATATCAAAACGGTAGTGAAGTTCTTGGAGTGAATAATCGGGTAAATAACGTATTGTCTCATCAACTCTTAAAGACATGACCAATAAAAGTCTCTGACTTGCTTCTTGCCAGCTCAGAGGGAAGTTTCGAAGCTGTAAAGATTTCAATTTCATAAAGTCAAAAATCACCGTGCAATCACAATCATCGTCCATATAACCAATATCTAGATTTTTTATGGTAATTTTTCTGTCAACATTGACGTTCTTTAGAAGTCTAATGAAAAGGGATTCTAACAGTGTCATTCTAGGAAGCCAATTGTCAAAAAAATCCTGGTCAGCTGAGTATATTCTGAGACTTTTGATTATATTGGGTTCAGGGAAACCATCGATTATGTGATCTCTAAATGATATGTCAAGGTGCCCGAGTTGTTTCCACCAATATCCTCTCTTAGTTGCGTTGAAATTATCCAATTTCTGCCCAAGGATATAATCGACCGAGTTGATAGCTATAGAACACCCAGGAAGTTTTGTCACCAAATCTTGGAACCAATCGAAGGAAAAAGACCAACTGAATGCGAATACTAATCGTTTCAATAAATTAGTCTTAAGTTTCCCACTCCTTAACATTTCCATAAATATAAGCTCGGGTACCCGCCTATAATACACCCAGGGTCCTCCTACCGTCAAGTAATTAACAAGAGGAGAGGAAACAAAAATGGAATGCCATAAAGCATTATCTGCAACGCTATTTAATCTTTTACAAACCATATTGATTTGTATTACTTCATCTGTCTCTAAATACTTGAATATTTCTTCAAGTATGTCATCAGGAAATTCGACAATAGGTAGATGTTTCTTTGTCTGGGCAAGACGTGAAGTATATTTCAATTTTCTGAAACACCAAAGAATAGCTGTACAAACCATTACCGTCAGTATCCCAATTAATAATATCATATTGTTGGTAATTTAATTAGTATATATGATACACAAACTAGAGAAAAACTCTTCAATTGTTTGCAAATCTACTTTTACAAATAATATTTGCAAGAAATTTTGATATGCTTTTAAAAGTTCCCGTAAGGACAACTATACTAGCTCTCAGTTAAGCTTGTTTTTCTAGAAGGAGAGGATTGACGGCACAGCCGAGAATCGAGTCTTCTTTCTAAGTCAAGAGACCAGTGATAATCGTCTCACAACTTGGTTATTAATTTTTCATGAGATTACCTACTTTTTTGAAAAGTCACCTCTATGTAGAACCACCCGATACTTTCAAACATCTTTAATACAATCAGGAATTCTAGTGTATTTGTTACCATTTCTACATTGAACTACTCGATATTTTGTTCGTTGTATAGTCAAGGTCCGCAATGAAGTCATTCCTTTCAATTTTTTCATGGTACAGTATTCAATTCTCTTTATATGCCACCACTCATACTTCTCAGGAACCGTGGGGTCGAACGACAAATAAGCTATTGGGTGACGCAATATGTACTTAAAGTCCCCCTCCGGTATATCATAACGGTAGTGAAGTTCTTGGAGAGAATAATCGGGTAAATAACGTATTGTCTCATCAATTCTTAAAGACACGACCGATAAAAGTGCCTGACTTGCTTCCTGCCAGCTCAGCCGGAAGTTGCAAAGCTGTACAGATTTCAATTTCAGAAAGTCGAAAATCTTCGTGCAATCACAATCGTCGTCCATATAAATAATATCTAGATTTTTTAATATAATTTTTTTCTCGACATTGACGTTCTTTAGAAGTTTAATGAAAAGGGATTTTAACAGTGTCATTCTAGGAAGCCAAATGTCAAAAAAAACCTGGTCAGCTGAGTATATTCTGAGACTTTTGATTAGATTGGGTTCAGGGAAACCATCGATTGTGTGATCGTTAGAAGATATGTCAAGGTGCCCTAGCTGTCTCCACCAATATCCTGTCTTAGTTGTGTTGAAATTTTTCAATTTCTGCGCAAGGAAGTAGTGTACGGCGTTGATAGCTATACAACACCCAGGAAGTTTTGTCACCAACTCTTGGAACAAATCGAACGAAAAAGACAAACTGAATGCCAATACTAATCGTTTCAATGAATTAGTCTTAAGTTTTCCACTCCTGAACATTTCCATAAATATAAGATTGGGTACCCGCCTATAATACATCCAGGGTCCTCCTACCGTCAAGTCCGTAACAAAGGGAGAGCAAACAAAAATGGAATGCCATAGAACCTTATCTGCAACTCGATTCAATCGTTTACAAACCTTATTGATTTGAATTACTTCATCTGTTTCTAAGTACTTAAATATTTCTTCAAGTATTTCATCAGGAAATTCGACAATAGGTAGATGTTTCTTTGTCTGTATAAGGCTTGATGTATCATTCTTTGATTTTCCGAAATACCAAACAGCCCACGAATGCATTAGCATGGCCAATGTCGCGATGATTAATAGACTATCATCATTCATAATTCTATATAATGAAATCACCGGAGAAACTCGACAAATTTTTGTAAATTTTGAACGAAATTTTTGATATGCGGTTTCAACGGGCAGCAAAATAGCAACTATAGTAAAATTCCATTTTTTACATATTTGTTGAGAAGGGTCTATACCGGAACGCGGAAGTCAAGCTAAGTCACCAACCGAGATTATTATACATTGCGAATTTTATACTTGAGATTACTATGATGTCTTCCACTTAAAAATAATCGTAAGTGTTTGGGACTATACAAACCGAGTTACCTATTCCAGACTTACATTTGAAACAGTCATCTCTTGCAAGAGTGATCATGGTAAGTATTTTTGCTACTCGCCCATGTTAGTCATAAAAAAGGGAGTATAAGAATAATCAGACTAAAGATAATCTATTTTCTTTTCTTGTACTTAAGAACTTTCACGTCGCCCGCATGAAGAGCCTTATTATTCTTTTAGACTTCTTGAGTAGACTAACTTGGAATTTAATACGGAACACTTATCAATATTTATACCCTGTAGTTCAGGAGGAAGATAACCTCCGAGAGAATCTGAATATATGGAAGATTTGGAATAGTGATTTACACTATATAAAACGTCTAAATCCTATAAATTGAAAGCTATACTATTAAAGCTAGCTTTAACTAAACTAGCAAATTTATTGAAGACGTTTTAAAAGATTTTACTGATCGAAACGATTGATAATGATTACCCCAAATCCCGGTAAAAGAGAAATGAATGTATGATTTTGCATTTCGTCTTTCTACATTCGATACTACGAGATTCGCCACCTTTGTGAATTCTTCAGGTGTGCGCAATAATTTCTCTCATGTGTCTGTCTAGCTGGACAAAATCTCAACATGGAATATTAGAAAAATGTGCTATAATAGAGATATGCGGCTTTCCGTTTTTTCTATGTGGTTGCATACTAGAAACTATAATATTTTTTTTGCAGCATTTAATTGTCACTTTTTAAAAGTATTTGTGGCTGCAAAAAAATTACATTTTTAAAGTTCTTAAAGCTTTTTGTACTTTATCAATTTACTTGAAAGTTTGTCTGAAACATAAGTTACCAACTATGATTTCACAGGAATACTACAATAAAATGCAATTTCCAAGTTTCGAGCATATTATCCTATTGGCCGCTTCCATATTCCCAGAATATTCAATAATATTATTACCAGTCTTGTTTTTTTCTTTATCATGGCAATACTTTATATTTTGGGTGATTCTATTTTTAATTAGGAAATTAGTTGAAACATACTTTACGGCATGGAAGAAAGCATCATCATGGGAGTTCAAAATAAGGTGGTTTCCACAGTATAGTCCTAATATAATCCAGAAAATTCAAAGATTGGTAGCAGATTTATGGCGTTATTCTTATTTCTTATTTGTCACTTTAATAGCTGGATCATTAACCGGTTATCTGGTTCCTACAAAGATTTTCGTTTATTTCACAGACGTACCTCGCCCTGGAAGAAATTGGTCAGATCATGTTAGAATCAAATCATCAGAGTTCTTTCAAATACTACAAACTAGCTACTTCATACGCAGGACCATCACTGATGTTGTTTTCGAAAATGATGTGGATATCGAATTATGGATCTTAGATGTACTTCGTCGGGACCTACCTAACTGCCTAATAAAATTTGACACAATCGCTTTGGACTTTGTCCTCGGGTGGCTAGGAAATGAGAAGTTAATTGCAAGCAGACATTTCTATTCTCCTGGGATGATAGGTATTGGCTTTCCTTTGGCCAAAGTTGAAAGTTTGAGAATCGATGAAGCAGACGATGCCATCTTACAAGATATCGAGAACATGACAGGTTTAAAATCTTTACACATGAGGTTGCCCACCGGGTTTCGGGTTGCAAAGAAGTTGGAGCTTTCAAACCTCAAGTTGGGGACAGCCACAGAAGAAGTAATTTCAGGAATATTTGAAAATATAGAAGTATCCAAATTAGAGTCATTGCTGCTCGAACGGATGCCAAACAATTGGTTGGCGATCAGCACCGGTTTAAGGCGAATCAAAGAATTAGAAATAAATGGATCCATTAGATTCATTCCCTCGAAAAAAATAAAGGAACTCCACTATGCTGGGGACGTTCCCCTTGCTGATTGGGAATTCATAGTGAGACATCCTGTCAGGACACTCGGTTGTAACCCGACAGACGGAAGACAACACGAAATATTGGAAAATATACATTGGATTGGGAAAATGTGGAATCTAAAAACTCTACATATAGGGGAACATACACTTTCCCTTGAAAATGATGAATGGGTGCCACAAGTGGTTGTTAATCCCACTCAAGAGTAGGTTTTCTAATTAGATAAATAGCTTAGTATAATTTGTTCGTATATAAATGTAAAAAATGACATCAGAATCTTCCACGTCTTTCACAATTTCCATTCCAATTAGTGTTTTGACTACAAGATAGATGAACAAGAGTTTAGATACAACGTTTCATACTATATTGCTTGATCAAAAGCAGAAACGTGCTGAAATAGTTTTTTTTTCTTTAAACGGTATCGATTAAATTATACACTAAAATTATAAACTGAAATATATAAACTGATACTGACCCTCTGATACATATAGGGCATAACGTTCTGTAGAAATGGTAAAAACCTTTTATAGGCACTTAGGTGTATGATAAAAGCAAC